AGGGGGTGGCGGCCGGCCCCCCCCCCCCCAGGGGGGGGGGTGATTTCTCACTTTCTGTCTGTCTTTCTGGTGAGTGCATGCGTCCTATAATAAAAAAACCTCTCCAACAAAACAAAATAAACCAGAATTGGCTGCCCACACTGTAAGTAGTAAAAACGAACAAGCAAAAGCCCTAACCACCTGCTTATCTGAAAAAAGCACAATACTGGCAAAACTGGGTTCACCTACCTGCGGGGCACCCTCCAGCTGGGACTGAGTGCCAGCCACTCCCTACAGGAGAACTGAGAGTGTAGTTTCCCACGGATAGTCTCTCTTCATTTGTACGTGCCCCCAACTGGCCCCAAGAACACCTGAGTTGCAGCCCCTGACCTGAGGACTACCGTGCTAACACAAACCTAGATGGGACAGCTGCTGACCGCTAGGCTGCTAGCCTAATTTTATGGGGCCGCTGTTGTGTGTGTGTTCTGGTGGTCAAAATACTGTCATGTGGCACATAGCTATGTTCATTCTCTGTAGCTGGAAAGCAAGAAATACAAAGAAATAAGTGAGGAAGACAGATTCTTCTAGAAGTCAATGTGAGTGTTTAGATTCCAGGCCTCAGAAGGCAGCAGAGGGAGCAAACGGCATGGGTGTCTCCACCATCGAGGGGCCCGGGGATCCATACCTCACTGCCTCAGACAGGTGGGCACGACACCCTTTGTTAAAACAGGAAAAAGGGTTTTAGGAGACTTGCTGCATCTGCCCTTTAAGAAAAGGTCTAAATAAGGCCAGGGAACAGAACAGGCACGCCGCGAGCATGCAGGCTCTCCACTAGTCCCGAGCAATCTCTCCCCAGGGTTGGTCATATTCCTGGTAACTATGAGTCTCTACAGAACCTTTCAGGTCAGGAGTCCTTACCCTGGGGCCCGCAGCCTAATGGTACTCAGAAGAAAGAAAAAGAAGGCCATCTGTGTTCCCCCCAAAGGCCCTCACTGTGAGGGTGCACATCCCTCCACTAGGAACACAGGCAGCCATGTAGGGCCCTGGGCCCTGCCTCTGATTGAAATCAGATACTTTCATTCTGCCTCTGAGTTGCTGTTGGTATTCTGGAATATCAACGATGCTCGTCACTACTCAGAAATCAGTGTCGAACAGACCGACCGCTTGTCATCTCACTTTAATGGAAAAAGAAAAAGAAAAAGAAAAAAACAACAATGCCTCTATTATTGTAGCTCAAATTTTTGGAAAACATTTTGACAACATATCTGAATATAATTGGTTCCTTTCCCGTTTACTTTATTTCCTTAAAACCATTCTCAGAGGATCCATGGGCCTTGCCAGACTGCCTAACAGAGTACGGCTCCAAGGAAAAGTCCAAGAACTCCCCTTTCTAAGACTGTTGAGAATTACAAAAAGGCTTTCAACACTTCATCATTTATCTTTTTATCTTTCTGTTGAAGACCCAGGGTATGGCGTAATGTTCTTTCTTTCTAATTGCTGGAGGGTGACAAATACACAGATTCAGTGTGTTTTTCAAGCCACTAGGGCTGGGATTTGAACCATGGTTGACCATGTGGGATCCAACTCCCTTAACCACTAGGCCCTGGGGCTGTATTTACTGTTGGGTGACGCTACTGTGTGTAAAGGAGTGATTTACTCATCTGCTTAGTAGCCAAGCGATGTCTCTCCAGTGACTTGCACCTCGAACATCATTTCCCCATTTGTAAGGTAACACTGACAGTACAAGCTGCCTTCGGGTGAGGTTCAGGTGAAATAACTTACAGGAAAGTGCTCTGCAACTGTGAGCCACTATAAATATCACTAGTGATCACTGGTTATATTTACACAGTAAGATCACATCTTTATTGTTACGTTACATAGACTATAAACATTAATATGTGTGCGTGTGTGTGTGTGTATGCATATATATATTTTTGGGGGAGGGAGACGCCAAAGGGTATGTGCACTCATGTGAGAGAAAGAGAGAGAAGGAAAGTGAGAAATCAACCCAACCCAACCCCCCCCCAGGGGGATGGCCACACTACAGTCCTTCTCCTCCAATCTCTTTTTGGGATTTTGGGCAAGCACACACATATGCCGAATGTGATTATCAAGCCACAGGATCTGAGGCCTGCACTACAGTCACCAGTGGAAGTCCAGTGCCTTAACCACTGATGCCACCTGCTAGCCTCACATAGACTATAAATAGCTACATAAGTATAAAAAGGTAAATACTCCATGTGGCCTGCTCATGTTCCTAGAACAGATGTAAATGTATTCCTGAAAAGCCTAATTAGTCTAGATAAAGCTCCCGTAGCATTCTTTAAGCTTTGTTCTCTCCTCTTTAAAACAGAAGTCCTACTCGTTGATCACTTTTTTACACTAGTCTCTATTGTTTATACACTTCTACCTGGCTTACCAGAAAAGCTAGCTTCCTTTGACTAAGATTTAGTTTTTCTACACTGTCCATGTGGATGGGGTAGGGAAAATGCT